TTTTAAAAACTTTTTAGGAGACACAAAAACATATAATAAAAATAAATGAGTTTTTACGACTCTGAAACAAATTCAATCGAAGCTGTTCCTAAATCAAGGTATATACGAATATTATTGAACAGGGGAATCCTACTTTATTTGACAACAGTAAGATCAGATATCTTATTACCTAAAATCATTTTTCATTTAACGTGAATATTAAAAACTTTGGTCTAGAATCAAATAACAAATAAAACACGTTGAGAAATCTAATATTTTTTATTAAATTTTCTAAGTGTAAAATTTGTGCCTATAAATCCTCTTTAATTCCCAGTTGTTTTCAATAGTTTAATTTAAATTTCTCAACAGAGTTTACTATAGTTGAAGAATTTATGTTTAGTTTCAAAATATTTTTATATACCTTAAAGTAAAACTTTCCTTTTGACGTCTCATGGAGTTCTAGTAAAGCTAACATATTATATGTTGGAATTTGTTCTTCCCACACTCCTAATGCTATTAAAAGATTGGACAAGGTCGAATCATGACCAGCGTAAACGTATAGTTGATTAATTGAATTATTAATCATTTTGGTTTTACTATCTTCTAAAATTTTTTTAAGCAACGGACCTAAAAAAATGTTTAGGTTGGAATCATAAAAAATGTATTGACCAACTGAATTCGTAGCATTTACCTCCTTTAATTTTTTTCATTTGATCATTGAACGCGTTAAGTATAAAACTTCTAGAAGTGATTTGTGTCAGTTGACTGGGATAAACCTTAGATGTCCATGGAGGTAGTTCAAGGCCATAATCCGACTATAAACAAATTAATTTAACTGTAAATTAGCATTTCTATTTGCTTCATTAAAATAACGTACTTCCGCTTTTAACGTACTATAAATCGATTGAACATCATCAGGATCTTGCACTTTCAGTCCTGTATTTTCAGTCAAGTAGTCATAAATGTTTTGATAACTAAGCAGTTCTCGCTGAATTGATGATAAATTCATTATAGCTTGTCTCTCTTCGTAATATCTTGGACACGATTTTCGAACCAATAATAGCTATAATTAAGTGAAATAATTTAATACCTATGAATGACTAATTACACTTGTAACAAATATACTTATTAATTAAATTATAACGTTTTAATATTTTACTTGGTCATTGTTTAACTTTTCAGTGTGAATAGGAATAGGTTGCCATTCGAGATGTTTATTCCATTTTTGATTTCCGATCGGCTTATACAAAGCTGCTGCAACAAGTTGAGCGCTCATTTTAGTCCTATCAACATCAGTACTCCAAAATGTTACTTTATCCGGAGAGTACAACAAATCTAAAAATCCACTGTACCTTTTTCGAATAAATCTCCCGATTTCATATTGATTGCGTTTACCGATCTAAAGAAATTATATGTTAATTTTAAGTCCAAGTTTAAGATCCAGAATTGTTAATTTACATTTGTTAATTGCCCCCATCCATATGGTTCCCACTTGTAATTAACATAAGGATCAGTTGGGTATGTATCGGCCGGCGTTCTTTCTCCATGTCTAAATATCTGAAAAAATTAATTATTTTATGTATTAAAACAAATATAACTAATGTATTAATAGAAATATTTTATTAACAATTGATTTAATAATCACTAGAATTTTTTTTTTAATTTGGTAGTTTTTCAGTATGCAATACTACATTTTAAAAATGACTATACGTTTTTTTATGATTTAACAGTTTCACCGGCTAATCCTTTACTATTATCTTAAAGGTGGTATTATAATTTTAAAAAATGTTGAGATATAATTAATAAACAGTGCACTTATCCATAAAAATCTGATAGCAAAAATACTATTTATAACATTATATTTTTCGTTTGTGTATTATTAAATCACTTTATCAATGTGCAAACTACGAAATGTAATTGAATTATGTTAAATATAACGTTTAGTTCTTGCTTAGAAATACAAAGATTATTCACCTTTACAGGTTATTTTAGAATAAATTGACATGCCGATAAAACACATTTTAACCTACTTAGTATGAACATTCATTATATGAATGAAAGGATAAACTTTTTACTACAGAGCGCATCAAGTAATTATAAACTGAATTATATTGTTNACTGTAACCTTAATTGTTTGAAAAAAAAAAAAAATCTTAGAGAGTATCATTTACAATTTTCTATAAAACACAATACAGAGTAGCTAAATAAATCATTTTCTGATTTATTTTTTATGTTATTTCACACTAATTAAGTGTATGATTTTTTCATTAAAGTATTAATTTCAGAGATATAGCCAATAGGCCGCATTCTCTTCATATTTTCTTTGTCCTATTAGTTAATTAATTTACTCATTGTAATTGAATTAAATTTTATTGATTGTACATATTCTCTTAATAAAAGTAAAAGGAAAAGTTATTAGTTTTTAATAATTAAAATGTTAGGCTTTCAAATATTTATTAACATTGGCAAGTCCCAAAATCAGAGTTAAACTTGAAACTTGTTGGCCACCATATGATATTTTTAAATTTTTCTTGGATTTTTTCCTTTTTAGTTGTATATAAAACATTTTGTTTTAATTGTTACATTTATGAAAAGATTATATAGCAGGTAATGATTTAAATATTTTTTATAAAAGGTAAAAACACTGATAAATGAACACTACCAGTAAACAAACACCACTGAGTTTTTAACTAAAAAAAATTCTAATCTGATAGAAACTTTAATTCCTAGTATTTTTTAAAACAATAAAAGGTATTTACTTCAAGTCCAACAGCATTATCACAAATTTTGATTTAATATCATTAACTTTGATTCCAATTCATTCACTGGGAAATTCAAATTTTCAACATTTCGTAATAAATTTAAATGTTTGTGTTAGTAGTTAATTATAAATATTTTTACATTATTATTAAATTAAATTTTCTAGAAGACAAATATTTGTTAACTTTATAAGTGTAATATCAAAATATAAATTAATAAAAATTTGAAAAGTAAACTCTTAACTGATCATACATAAATGAAATCGTCCATATACATATAAATATATATTTTTATCACATATTCTGTAATACTTATAAATGAAATTTAAACAAAACAAAAATTTTTAAGTTAATTTAAATTTAAAAAAGACATGTCTAAAACTAGTAACTTCTAGTTTTAGTCTATACTTAATAACATATTGTTTTATTTTATTGGACAACTAAATCATATATTAGTCAGAATTTCTTGTATTCCAATGACTTACTTAATAGAAAAAGTTTCTTACCCCATAAAACGAATTTATTTTCATTATTTAAATTAACTAAGCTTTACAAAAATTTTTTTTTAATACATCAACATTTAAACATTTATGTTAGAATGTTAATTTAAATAATTAAAAAAAAATCGTAGAGAATATCTAGAATGTTTTCAAAATTCCCGCCATTGATACAGATTACTAAAATTCTTAATATAATAGTACTAAATCATTTATTACCTACTATTTTAATTTATTTTATATCAATAAGAGAATATTATTAATTGAAAGTAATTTATTTTGAAAACATCATTAATAATTAACCAAATTATTAATATATATATATTAATATATATATAATTAATATATCGATAAAAATGTAGTTAAACTGTATTTTGTTTATTAAAAAAATATAAAATTAATGCAAACTTAAGTGTTATACTAAAGAAATATTATTTTAATTTATATTATTATACATACTGCATGAATTAATCTTAAAGAATTGAAACGATAATGTTTATTATGATGAAGTGTCTTTGTAGTATTGTTATATTCTGCGACTGCATGAAAGTTGAACGTCAATAAAAAAATTGCCCAGAATTTAATAAACAAACTGCAGATCATTTTTACTGGCGCAAATATAAAACTAGATAACCAATTATCATATCTAATAAAAATAATATGTTTGTGGATTTGGTTCTTTAGACGTTCAATACATTTTCTATGGATTTTAACACGTGATGAGTGACGACATCGCGTTGAAAAAAAATAACAAAACAGTCGTTAAACAACAACGCCATGTACTGATTGGTATCTGTTTGACTGTTTGGTTGTGTTATACGTCAAAACTATACTTGGTGGTTCTATGGATACCGTCCAAGGTGGCTTTAAATGTGAATGTGCGTGCGTGTATCTAATTAAAGCTGGACAAATAACAAGGAGGGAGGAAATATTTATATAAATTCACCATAGACAGTCAAACACGAACAGATGTTTTTTTTTTAATTTACATTGGCATTGAATAAGTTCTCCATACTTAGCTAATACATTACTGATATTATGAATGAGTAAAACAACAGTAGTAGATGTCGTCAAAAGAGTTAACTGTTTTCGTTGCGGTAATAATAACTTGAACGCAAAAAGAAATGATTAATTTTATTTAAGTGTTTTATTTTTTAATATTCATTATATCATTTAACAGTACCAATTTAAATTACAGAGTTCGTTAAAGTAAAGTTAAAGTAAATTTATTATTATTTTTTCTCTTTTTCTATAAACAATTTTATAGATGTTGTGATACATCTATATTTTAGAAATGTTTAAAATATAATTTTTAAATCCTAATGTCGAATTAAAAAAAAGTAGTTTTGTAGTATGTTGAAATTTATATGAATTAACAATAATATAATCAAAATACTTAACCTTACTTATCTCCATCGATATTGAATTATTTAATAAAAATTGCAACTATGTACACGATAGAACTTTTTCATATACAATAAGCATAAAAAGTTACAATGCTTATTTAGATAAATCAAATTCAACACATAATGAATGCTTGAATGGTCTGTTGATAAAAATCATCGAACTCAAATAAACTAAAAATAAATAAGGCATGTATTTTATAATTAATATCAACAAAGGTTCACTTGGAAAATAATTTATCGTTAAATGTTCATCTAAATCAATCTTTATTAAAATGGGAATAGATTTCATTTAATTTAATACTTGGATTAAGTATTCGTAAGATTAATGTAATTTTTTTTATAACTGTCCTCAACGTTTTTCAAGAATTCTTAAAATATCGAATTTTAAGACGCATTAACGGTACACCTAATTCCAAAAGTCGTTCAAAAAGTGATCGGTTAAATTCATTTTGTCTCCTTGTACTCAATGATCTTTTTTTAATATTATCTCCTGTAAGTACTACTTGTTCTGCACCAGTAATCATTGGTATTAAACAATTAGGTTCATTAGTTTGTGTACTTCTATCAATAATTACCGCCCGGAATTTAAATTCAGCTAGACGAGAATCCCCAGCAAAGTCACATGTTGTACAGACTACTTGAGAAAACTTCAAACATTCAACTTCTGCAAGTTTTTTAAGTCGTTTGTATGTAATTTCGTCTTGTTCGTTAAGCTTATTCAATTTTTCTTTGATCATCTGTAATTTTTTGAACTCACTATGGCCATTCAGTTCTTTTATTTTATTACTTAGAAGCAAATCTGAAGACTTACAACCAGCCATCTTAAGAGTGCCCATTCTTACCACACGCACGCCTGATTTTGCTACAATATCTGTTAAGTAATCGACAGCCTTTTTGGTTGGTGCACATAACAATACCGAACCAAATTTTGATAGATGGTATGCAATTATTGCACACAGAGTGGTTTTGCCAGTAAGTGATGGTCCTTGGATAAGTGACAATGTTTCACGAATAGCATTCTTTATTGCAATTTTTTGTAAATAATTTGGAATGGGTAGACCAGGTGCCTGACAATCTTCTAATATTTCATGATTGTATAATGAACTACGAATATAATGACCTAAAAGAATAGACCGTAGATCATGTGACATACAATCCATTTTTTCGGCGAATCTAGTTAACGCCGTAAACATTTGAACATATATTCTATTGTTCCATGGCCTCAAGATAATTAATTTCGAGCCTTTTTCTACTTCTAGTGGCTGATCAAGTTCTACATCAATGATATTTTTTTGAGGAATATTTATAATTTTACCGACAAGATCACAGGGGTTATCATTCAAATACTGAAACTTTATTTCACTACCAATTTGCATATAAGGCAAACGTTTTTTCATTAGCAATTGTAAACATAAAACAAATTTTTTATTATGACTTCTTGTTGAATCATGTAGTAAACATTGTTTACTAGTTTGTTCTTTGACCTGTTTTTTATTCATAAATTCGTGAATTAACGAATTAAATGTTTCAAGATATTCTTTTGTATTAGAAAAAAATATTTTATAATTATTTGTTTTTTCGTTGATCAAATTTACTGTGTTTGTATTGCTGCTTTCCTCTCCCCGTTCAACTATATTTTTCATAACTATGGAATTAGCTAAATACATTTGTCCATGAGCCATGATGTAATTATTTTTTATAAAACACCATGTATCTTTGTCAATTTCCTTAGTACAATTTTTGATACCTAATTGAAAAACATTTCTTAACTCAGAATTATAACAACTCGTCGGTACAAGATGACCATATAATCTAAGTCCATAGCTACCACTGTATGTTTAGATATCTACAAATGGTTAACAATGTGAGTTTCAGAAGTTGTGCTGAAGCTGTTACAAAACTACTCTACAATAATTGTAATAATTTTAAATACTAGTGAATAACTTTGATTTGCGGTGATTATTTTCCTTGTACTTTACTTTTCTGTTTTACTTTAATTGAAATATATTACAACATCATAAATGCCCGTCAATAATACTTGACCAATTCTAAACAAAAGACTTTCGTAATACATTATTTACTAACATTTCAATAAAAAAGAAAATAATAATAGGACGTATAATCTGTTTTTGTAATCATAATTGAACAAATTTATGAAAACTGATATAAAATTTTTGCCTGTTTTAATTATATAATAATCTCTATGGATATATTTAAAAGATAAAAAACAAAATAATAATTTACTGTTGGTTTAAAAGAACTCTATGTCGAACTTATTTAATCGATATTAAATTGTACTAAATTTTGAATTTATTAAACACCTTAATGTATCATGGTACATTAAAAATTATTTGACTTGAAAATTTAAGTATGGGTAAACCTTTTTGATTAAAAATTATAGTGCAGCACTGTATAAAATTCCGATAATAATAACAATTGCATGTAAATATCACGTAATTGTTTCATAACAGCCATATTTATTACTACTATTGATACAATATTACTTGAGTATAATATATAATTAATGAATACTAATTATGGTTTCTAAAATTAAAAAAATTTTCTTCGACTTTAACTATTAGTTTTAAGTATTCTAAACATCAATTTTTTTAAATAAATGGCTAAATTTTCATTCGCACTGGTACATTCATAATTTTTTTAGTTAATTATTCAGTTTATCAGGAACTATTAATAATATTTATAATTAGAACATAATTATTTAATTTAAACATTCAAATTAGTTTGATTTTCAATTATAATTTATTATGAATTATCTATATTGTGTTGCAAATGATATTTATGAAATACTTTTTCATTCCCTCGTATACCTTAGTTTAAGTATATCAGATTTATAACTATAAATAATCATAATAAAATCATTTAAGTTCATCCGGTTTAACAGAAAAAAACCCAACAAGCCTACTTTGAAACTGCAAAGATATAATAAATGTTAATTTTGATTAGTTAGATATTGAATATTCCTTAATTACTCACCGGGGATTCATGTTTTAACTTGATGAAAATAATGAATAATTCGAATAATATTAATTTATGTTTGCGTTAATAGTTTGCTTTATCAATGTAGCCTCATTAAATAGATGTTACTACAGAATTCTAAAGAAACGATAAGATTCAATCGAATTTATTTAAGATTAATGTTTAATTATGAAATGATTTACGCACTACAATAGCACATTGAGTCTAGAGATCTCCGGGAGAATAATATACTGATGCAATTTTTTGTGTTCATGAGATATCCGACGTAGTATTTAAGTTTTTATTGTTAAAATTTTTAAAGATATACTTAATTAATTTACATCTCATTTCACTTTTCTCATAAGCGGATGTATTTAACTGTGTTACTATATTTTTTTCTGATAATTTACACAAATATCGAAATTTATGAACAACAAGATCAAATTTAATGTTTATGTCTTAGAAATCAATACACTTTATTACGTCATTATTACATCTTTTGTTTTTGGTGAAAAAATTCTACGCGAACTTTTCAATCAAATGTCAGTATGTAATTACCATGCGCCCACTACAGCTGGATGATTCTTTGCATATTAAATATATACAAAATAAAACGAAATAACACTTAAGTTTCAATATGGTAAGAAATTAAAAAAAAATTAAATTAACTTAATATGAAAATTTGCAAATTAACAAATTTTTATTGCCAAAATTAGAACATATTCAAATTTTATTTATGGAATTTTTTATCGTAAATTATTAATTGTCTTTAAAATTGTATATTTTTTAAACCATATTTTAATTTATAAAAAACATTAATTATACTTTAATGTAATTGCATTAAAAATAAATAGATTTCATTTATGTTGTTTGGTAAACAAGATTACATCTAAATGAAATTTAATTTTGATATAAATTTATTTGTCTATATCTGTTGTCTAGATTTAAATTTTAATTAAAAAATAATTTTTTAAAATACTTATACAATCATAAAATAAGAGAAGTTAGCAAATATAATTGGGGAAATGAGATATTTTCCAATTTATAAAAATTAAATAATTTCATAATTTACTTTTATTTGAGTACAAAGTTTCCCTAAAATCTAGAAACGTAATTGATGTATCAGATATTTATCATGATGTTTATTGATTATTATTTATTTTATTATTATGATTTAATTTTATTGTATATACGTATATATGTATATTTTTTATTGTTCATGACATATACAATAAATATATTGAACTTTGATTAAAATAATTTTATCAATGAAAAAATGTTAAAATTTAAACCAATAAATGTGTAAAATAACCTCGATGATTAAATCTTTACCTATCATACTAAAATAATTTTTGTCCTTTACTCTTCTAATTTGCAGCTAAATTTGCCTAAAATTTATACTTTATGAATTATATAAAACTTAATTGTTTGATTTTAAGACTGTAAANAATCTGCAGCTAAATTTGCCTAAAATGTATACTTTATGAATTATATAAAACTTAATTGTTTGATTTTAAGACTGTAAATGTTTATTACATTGATATATTTAAGAATTTTAATAAATAGAATGAATAAATCATATTAATAAAATAAACATCTACTTTAATTTAAATATTAACATGTGATAAATGAAAAAATTATTTTGTTCTTTACTATATAAAAAAGTATTGCTTTTAGATTGAATTTATATATTTTACAAATAATTTCTATATTACTTACAGATGAAAAAAGGAAATAACATAATTATGGATTACAATGAACAAGAGCAAAATAATAACTATCAGTATGGTATTAAATCTACATTTGCACAAGTTAGTCATAATATATGTCTAAATATAATTTAATCGATCGAATAGTTAAAAATCAATAATCTAATCATCTAAATAAATGTCAAAAATTTATTTTGATTTTTACTCTTCAAAGTATCTTTTTGCAATACTTAATATAGTAAAATGAGAGTATTTTAAATAAACTTAAATATTTGGTTAAAAAAACCACATGTATATTTTTAATTAAAAAAAAATTTTCGTGCAGTAAATTATATTTTAGAGTTATCTTTAATCACATTATATAAAGTAATACTTTGCTTTATTAATAAATAATAAAAATGATAAGATTATTTTCTTTAATTAATACTTGTAAAATATTAGATGGTTATATCATCTGTTATTACCTATGCATTTTTTAAAATGTGAATTAATGCAATTTACATCACTTATTGAACATATTATTTGCTCTGATTCTATGCTTCATAAAGGTCATATTTTTTTACAGGCATTATAAGTATTAATTAAATCAAATTCTTTTACATTTTTTTTATAAAAAAATTTGACGATGATCCTTAAATGATACTTTCCAAAGATTTCTGAGTATCATTATTTTTAAGTAATTCATTATAAATAATTTTCTTTTTTATAACATCAATAAAAGGTAATAAAACAAAAAAAAAATAACNATAATAAATAATTTTCTTTTTTATAACATCAATAAAAGGTAATAAAACAAAAAAATTAACTTCAAGTCGAATTCTTTTAAAGAAGCCCTCACTTTATATGTAGATACAAGAAGCCAAACAGTATACATTTAATTAAATTCATAGATAAAATATGAATTCTTATTGGTCAATAATTCTAGTTACACTTGTAAGGTTAAAAACTTGTAAGGGTAAAATTATTAATATAATTTTAACTGAAAAGTCAAATTATTTCTATGATTTTGATTAAAGGATCAATAATATTCGATTTTCAATTTTTTTTTTTTTTTAATTTAATAACTCTACGAAGTTATTCTTAGTGAATTATTCGCGAGACAATTTTTTTAGTACACCTTGAGCGTTTAAAAACGTTATCAAATACGCTCATTTCTGCGATCATTTTTTTATTTTAAATCTGAATTTTTTACCAGACCTGTCTATAGAGACATTTGAAAAGTATCCTGAAAATTTTATTGAAATCTGTTGTTATTTGATCGAGTTATGAGATTTTTTTTTCAAGTCTACGCGCATAGTTGTTAGTAAAATAAAATGTTGCTTTACGCATAACCAAATTTTTGTAAGTTTATTTAAATTTCTCTTTTATTTCTTTCAGTGTTTTGCTATATTAGGAGCTTGTTTTTTGCAAATTGGACTTGGATGTCAAATGATGATGCCCACTGTTATAATAGGTTCTCTTGAGACACCTGATCTTACAAATTGTAAAGATTCTCTAGTTATGTCAAGTACTGAAGCTTCGTGGTTTGGTTAGTACGATCGCTTTCGAATGTGTATTTTTTTTTATTAACCCAAGTGTATTCTCAGGTAGTCTATTATACTTGTGCTCTCCGCTCGGAAGCTTTGTCTCGTCACTATTACTCCGACGTCTGGGACATAAGAGATGCATGATATTGTATAACGTTCCATACTTATTGGCCATCGTCCTGTACTATTATGCAAAAGATGTTGAAACTTTATACATATGCTCGGTACTAACTGGATTAAGCATAGGTTTAGCTGGTGGACCTAGTACTTCCTATCTGAGTGAAGTATGTGAACCCAAGTTAAGGGGTGCATTAACTTCAGCTACAAATGTATTCTATTTTTTTGGTTCGTTGATAGTAACCGTGATTTATGCAATAACCATGCAATGGAGACAAACCGTACTACTTACAACCGTAGTACCAGTTTTGACTATAATAGTTCTGCTAATGGTAATTATTAAATAAAAAAAAATCACATGAGTTTTTAACAAATATTCAATAATTTAGACGCCGGATTCGCCTATCTGGTTATTAGCTAAAGGGAAGCACAATAAAGCCCAGAAAAATTTAGGAAAATTAAGAGGATGGATATCCCACGATAAATGTGTGAGCGAATTTAATGAAATGGTTATTTATACGATCGAAGCTGGTAAGAAATTCTGATTAAAGCTTAAGCTATTATTGAAATAAAAAATAAACTATCGTTAATTTTATACAATTTAGTTGACGGAAATGAAACAGAAAATCTTGGCTCGGTCTGGCGACAACTGATACAACCCGATGTGATCAAACCATTTCGTCTTCTAGTATTCTACTTCTTCTTTTCAAACTTACTTTCTGGAGTACCGTATTCGCCATACTTAATAGAAGTATTCACTAGATTTGGTGCTCCTGTTAACGTGGAATGGACAATAGTATGTTTTATTTTATTAAGAACTAACGAGTTGTTATTGTCCAGAAATTTTATAATTAAATCGTTATTTATTATATAGACTAGTTAATTATGTATGTTGTCATTCAAAAATATAAAGTTGACACCTCTATAAGGTATAAAATATGAACATAAAAAACACATAATTGATCAATTGAGAGAAACATGGATAAGAAAATAAATCCTTAAAACTTTATTTTTCAACTATTTAAATGGTTCATGAAAAATTAATTATTCTATATAATGTTTATTTTTATCATTGTTCGTCACTGAATTTGTTATCTATAAAACAAATGGTAAAAATGAATAAAAATGTATAATAATGTATAATAATTACAAAAACAAATTGAGTAATTCATCACATTATTTTACAAANAAAAAAAAATTGAGTAATTCATCACATTATTTTACAAAACATTTTGTCACAGCTTCTCTATGAAAACCTTAAAAAATAAAGTTGTTACAAATAATACGCCACTCCCGACCATTATAAACGACAATAATACATAATTACTATAATTAAACTTTTAACTCTAATATTATTACATGAAAACTAATGTTTGGTTGGTTTTGTAACAGTCATTTTCAATGCTTCTGGGAGTTTTTGCTGGAATATTGACGATATTCTTAGTAGGAAGACTTGGAAAACGGTTTCTCACACTATCAACAATAACCATTTGCTCAATATGTTACATATCAATTGGATTTCTCGGTATCTACCGCGATTCCTCAAATGAATCATTTTCTTGGTCAATATTAGTATTGTATCTGACAACAACTCTTGCATCGTCCCTAGGAGTTATGCCTATTGCATGGATACTTTTAGGCGAAGTTTTTCCCATCAAGTAAGTAAACAAGATGAATAATTGTTTTTGTTGAATTTTCCAATAAATATGAAATAATTAAATATATAAAATATAAATCACATTTTAAAAAATCGCTTAAAAATTTAATAATTTCTATTTTAATTTTTGCTTACAATTTTTTATGTATAACTGTTTCAGGACTAAAAACATAACTTGTAGCGTGTGTTCAGTATTGTCATTTGTCTTTACTTTCTTTTTCACTAAATTTTATCAAGATTTTGAACACTTAGTAGGATTTTACAATACGTTTATCTTTTTTGGAGCGGGAGGATTGATTGGATTGATTTATTTTTATTTTTTCTTACCGGAAACTGAAAATAAAACATTAAAAGAAATTGAAGAATTTTTTAAATAATAAGTTGAACACTGTACCATACAGGGTAACTGGATATCTAGTCATTACTGAAGGACATGTTTTGGAAAGTCGCATTGTTTCAGAACTTTTGAAGTTTGAAAGTTCAAAAGTTGATGCATATTCATGCTGTACTTTGAAGGGCTTGTGAAGTCAGTAAAAACATCTTTATTTAACGCAATTTTTTTTACATCACTTATAATATGTCACCAATAATTATAATATTATGTGAACAAATACAACAAATTTGTTGTTTTTCTCATGTTTTAAGAGACAATAAAACAAGCCTTTCAATAATTATGTTCCTTTGATGTATATGTTTTAACATTCACACCAAATTTTTTATTTTTAATGTAAAATAATAATTTTTATATTTTTATTAAATTACTACATTTGTTGAATTTTTAAATTATTTAGTATTTTTATAACACATAAATTTATTTATATTTTTTATGTATTGCTATTAAGTTTACATGTCTTAATGTAATTCTTGTTTCGTATAATAAAATAACACTTATACACAGCTGTGATAATAAAATATGTTAGATTATTTTATTTCTTAAGAGGTAATGATTTGGGCCACGCAATATATTACGGAGTCGCCACCCTCATAGACACCTAGTAGTCAAGAAATATTGGGTAACCAACACTTATGTGAGGGGTTTAATTATAAAAAAGTCACCGGACAATAAGTGGATTAAAAACAAAAAAGTTAAATTGAATTAACTCATAAATGTTCAAAAATTATTAACCACCAGTTATTTTTTAGTTAGATCATCTTTTTGTTTTTCAATCATTTAAACATGTATTGTTCTATTTAAAAATGTTAAGTTATTGCAATTTTAAAGGAAAAGAAAAGAGATAAACACAATATTTATTTGTGTTAATTTAAGTGGATTGGAAACTAATAACTTCTAAAAAAAAAAAGTATACTAAACGTTTGAAGATAATGCGTGAAAAGAAATTTAACTCATGTCAAATGCATTGAAACTACAACACATCATTTAATTTCAGTTAAGTAGTATCGCCATTGTTGTGCTTACGCTGGTAATAACAAAACTTTTGACAATCAAAAATAATACATTTTTCACTACAAAAAGGTCTATTGATTAGTATCATAACTTGATATTCAATATTGATATTACTAATTTACTATTTGTCTTGAAAACTTTCAAAAAATTGAGTAACGTAATTTTTTTATAGTAAGGGCGATTTATAAAAATTCACAAAATACATATACTAAATACACTTAATATAACTTTTTAAATAACTTTTGGGAAATCAAATTAAATTCAGATTACCATTGGCCATCTCTTTTAACGTCAATTAATAAATTATCTATTAAATAAAAAAAACGAAATACTATCTTCCATGATGTTTAGGTAATTATGTATATTATTCTATATATCTAAGATAAAATATATAATAAGTATAAAAGCTAAAATTTATTATTCTTATTTAAATGAATTTAATCTATATAATAGTTTTAAAATTGAATAAAAAATAAATAAATCAATATCACATTATGAATCATTTTCATTGAATCAGCAAAATTATTTTTCTTTAAGAAATATTTGTTCATTCTTAAATTTAATCAAATTATTTTCATCAAATTCAATATTAGGCATTCTCATTAAAGCGTTATACAAAATCTTTGCAGCCGTCATTTCTCCTAGACAAAAATAATAATTTGACATGATAATATACTATGTTAAAATTTTTTATGTCATTCTGATAATTTTCAAATAGTTACTTATAACATGGAACTTTAATTCCATATCTTTGCAAATTTTTTCTGCAATTGTTTGATCACCCCTCAATATTAAATCATTAGTAAAATTTCTCACTTCATCAATATTAAACAAACCGTCCATATTTTTATCAACTTCAGTTAATTTGTTAGTGAGCATTGAAACCTCAAATTTAGTAAATTTCTTTTTTTTTTATTATTCGACATTTATTTCCCAAAAGAAAAATAAAAAATTAAAATTAAAATTAAATTTAAATTTAATTAATTAAAAACTAAATTACCATTACATCTTTGTCACCATCTTTATTTATCCCTGCCAAAAAATCTAAAATTTCTTTATAATATATGCAAACAGGTCCTAAAAAATGTTTCATTTAATTTTAATTTGAAAACATTAAATAATTTTTTTTATATTCCTGAAAACCAATATACAAAATAATTGTTTAATTATGATGCACGTGAAAAATATATTAAAAATTCAATTATTAAAATCAGAAAAATTTTAAAAAGGAAATAGTAAAATGTATTGGGTATAAGGTTGACGTTTGTTACTGAGGTAACAATTTCCCTTGGGCGTACTCAGAAATTATTTTGGGAGGGTATTTAATATTTTTTACTTTGGTAAACATGTTATAGAATTTTTTTGCTAAAAATCAAAGTGATGATCAACAAAATGGTCATTATAGCCATATTTCTTAGAAGTCCGCCTAAAAAATATTGTTAGCACTGGTTCAAGGGGAAAAATATGCCCCTGGTATACACAATAATTATTAATATTCTAATTATAATAATTGGTTTAATATTACAGAATAATTACAAACAAAATAGGCAGGATATTATTTCTGGGACTATGTAAAAAATTCAATTTTGATAAGAATATTGGTTACTGTGATTTAACGATAGACGATAGCATAGTTGTCATAGGCGGATAGCATTTTTTACTTGTTTTATTATATAATAAGATTACTTGTTAATACTGTAGTTATTAATTATGTAAGAAAAAAAACTTTATATGGTTAATTTTTGTAAAAAATAATTAATTGGTGAAGAATAGAGCGTAGTATTATTCTTACTAATAATTTCATTTTACATATTTTATACGTAAAAATTATGAGAAAAACACAAAAATTTCTATAAATTATTGAGCTATCAAAAATTTTCTGGATATTTAAACTAAATATTTTAACACAAAATTTTTACCATTATTAAATTTTGAGTCGTTTAATGTAATCATAATAATATATCATTAAATTATTTTTCTTAATAACAACATATGCATTGTACTAGATTATAAAATACAATAAAAAGAATTAGATAAAAATTATCTAATTAAGAAAATAAATTATTGATAATAACTTTTGTAACATTATTTTATAAGATATAATTATTTTTACATCATGACAGGAGGAGGAGTTGTGCGATGTCGAAATGTTTAGAGGTGAAAATAAACAGAATTGCTCTTCAACTCCATTCTTTATTTTTGAATGTTAATAACTTCCGAAATACTGGTTCAAAATTTGTTTCTTATTTCTAAGCTATTTAAATATATGTTTCATTAAAAAAAAACTAAATATGACAAAATTTATAAAGAAAGGAAGAGATGATTGTTTTGTCTTAATTAAAGTATGTAGGTACTAATAATTTCTGATCAGAAAAAATTATATATTCTATGTATCTTTTTGAGAACATTGCGTAAGACACAATGAGCAAATCATTCTGTATATATTATCTCTGAATTAGGCGTGAAATTGTTCGGATGAGTTTAAACCAATTAATGTAATATACCGTTTATTTCAAGATTTAGTTTATTCTCAATTTTAAATGTTTCTTTCAAATATTCATTTAAATCACTCTGTTCGAAATTTGATTTTTTAAATAATAAATCACAAAAAAAAAGATGATCTGAGTTGAGTCCAACACTGCAAATAAGACAAATTATACAATTTAAGTATTGAACGCTCAATATAATTGTATCTTACCTCTGTTCCAACCAAAAAGTATAGTGGGTAAACCAAAATAATACTTTGCAAATACATAGTAAATACTTAAGAAAGAAATACACAGTCTAATTTTTAGAAAATAATGAAATTGATTTTCGTTTAAATCTTTTTATATTTAAAAAATTAACTATAAAATAACACAGCATTTATTTTTTAGTTTGAACAAATTGTAATTCTCTCTAGGTAAATGTATATTTAAGCACAATAGATTTATCGTTTATTTATCAATAATATATGTTTTTGCTTTTTTAAAGTGCGTCCTTTAAAAAAATTGAATCAACAATTTAATAATACTGACGTGTAGCTTAACATTAGACTATTATAAAAAAATTAATCTTCAATACAAGAAATATTAGTTGTATTCAGCTGAATATTTTTTTAAACACCATTAAAAATCTTAAAAATATATTTATACCGTTATACGTATCTCAACAACTATGTTATCACTATCAGTGCTAAACATTAGTACCTTTATTAAGAAAAACAATCTATATATACCCCTATGACGTCATCATCTGTTCGATTTTGACATTATTTTTCGATAATAAACTCACTTTTTAATAATCCCATTTAGATAAACTTTTTTATTCATAAGAATGTTAAATTTCTTTTTTAAATTAAGATTTCTGTAATTATTTAATTAATTTATATTAGTTTATGTGACTAAAGGTCAGTAAATGTTCAGCTACCCAATTATCAACTTCCTGTGTTATTTAGGTTTTTAAATACTCATTAAGTGTAACCCCTATGTTCTATTTTATCCGATACGTTACCTGTCATAACTTCCACATGGCATTTTAGTATCAGATATCCCCTTTTGTCTACTTTTTTTAGGGTTTTTTTATTAATTTTTTTAATAAATATCTTTATATTTCAGATCTTAAAACAATTTATAAAAATTCTAAATTTAAATTAATTTATTTTACCCTGTTCATTTCTAACATCTAAATATAAAAAATTTTATAATATTTAAATATATTATTTATATTAAATAAAATACACCAACGATAATAGATTTAAGTTCAAAAATTCGAGAAAGCTCTGTAATTTAACGGAATTTTAATTGCTCATAGCATATTTAAATGTTGACACAAATGTTTTGAATTTCATTATTAGTACACGTAATATCATTAAAAGTATAATTTTTTTTCGGAAGTTAATAGTATACTATGTACTGAAATTAAAAAAAATGATCCTATCCACCCCCCACCCCTTTAAAATAATAACAACTTAAGTTGTTTAAAAAAGAACATATATGTTTAATTAATTTAAAAATAAGAAAATGACAAGTCGATAACAACTTTTTAATCAATATTTTAATAGATTTTAGCACTTTTATACTAGAACCGGAAGAGTAGAGAGGTTCATAAATGTCCAGAGATAAAAATAAACAGACCCTCTTTATATGACATATTTTAAAGGGATATTAAAAATATTACAAATTATAATTTTAAATTTATATATTAATATTTTTATTTTATTTAGATGTTTTGTGTAAATGTAAATAATATAATGTTTTAAAAATATATAATTAATTTTTTTTATAAATATTAAGAATTTTTTATATTAGAATTTAATAAAATTAAACATGAGAAGATATAAAGTAGCATTTCACCAGCCTCTATTGTCACCATAATACCACAATTTTTTTTTAACTCTCATTGTGATTTCAAAATTTTTTAATTTTTAAACATAACAATTCCGAATTTGTAAATTATTTAGTGAAATTCATAAGAATTAAAAAATTATTTTTAATTTTCAAATGTTTATAAAAGTTGAGATAAATATTGAAAAATTAAAAATTTTCTTATACATTTGTAATTACTTTTTATAAAGAACCAATTGGTTTTTTGCCTGGAAAGACAATGATAGAGCTACTTTTTGTGTAAGATAATTAATAGAAAAGAAGAAAAAGCTGTGTATGTTATTTATAGGTTTGGAGAAAGCAAATGATTAAGTACCGAGAGAGATTTTGAAGTGGGAATTAATGAGAAAAAAATATTAAAAAGGTACATTAATTTAATAGAGGATATATACATTGGCTTATGTACCAGAGTTAAAAGTGTAGGCGAAGTAACAGAAGATTTTAGGATAGAAGTATAGGAGTTCACCAAGATTCTTCTTTAAGCTCTTTCTTACTATTTTTTGTGATGAAAAAAAAATTGCTAGAGAAATATAAGGAGGTTCGGTGGTGCATGTTATTTGCGGATGATATAGTATTAAAAGTGAAAATAGTGAGGAAATTAATCAAAGTCTAGAGATGTGGAGATGAGCTCTTAAAGAAAATGATTAAGAATAAGAAAGACAGATTATATAGAGTACAAGTTTGGCAAAGGAGAACACGAGGTAGTTGAAATGAGGAAATTAGTAGCAATAAGTGAGGACGTGATAGGAGAGATAGAAAGTTTTAAGTATTTACGATTAGTTGTGTAAAAGAACGGTCAAAGTAGTAGTGAAACCAACTATTATGTATAATTCAGAGTGTTGGACAGTTCACAAGAGAATAAAGCAGAGAATGAGTATAATAGACATAAGAATGCTTAGATGGATGAATGAAAAAATATGATAAGAAATGATCATATAAAAGAGTGCATAGATATAGAGTTAATCATAGATAATATGAGAAAAAATAGACTTAAATGTTTTGGTCATATTATGAGGAGAGAGGGATCAGCAGCTGTATGAACAATTATGAAGATGAATATTAAAGAACGAAGAGGTTAAGGAAAACAAAAAAAGAAATGGAGGGATGTTATTGAATGCAATAATGACTGTTGATGTGTGCAAAGATGATATGGGAGATCATGTCAAGTGGAAGTTAAAGATAGGGGTGGCCTACCCCTAGTAGTTGGAATAAAAACGAGAAAAAAAGAAAAAAGAAGAATTACTTTTTATGAAACCGAAAAAATCAAAATTTCATTATTAAAATAAAATAAAAAAATGATTATAGATTTAACAGTCAAGATAACAATATATCCTTTTTGGAGAAAGAGAGCTGACTACCCTCATATCAAATACATCCTGTACTCTTTTAAAAGTGTACGCGTTAGGGATTTATAAATCCATAACATTACTGTTTTTATGCTAATATATAGAAAATAACTACTACATTGAAAATAACGAAAAAGAATTTATAAATATAGTATAATAAAATAATTAATAGTATTATAAGAAATATTATTGCCTATTCTAAACTCCTTTTAAGTATATTTACTAATAAATTAAAAACAAAAAAACCGTATAGTTGGGACAAGAATAGATTTGTCATTAGACAGTAATTTATATAACTATCATAAAACGCTTCAAAAAATAGATTAATCTCTATTTTAGACTGTTTATTTGCATAAAAAATCAATTAGTAGACAATAATTAGAAAAAATTGTGCATTTTTCTTCTTTATTGGCTGATTTCATATAATAAACCATTGATTGATTCACATTTTTTAACTTTTAATACGTTTTAAAATCTTAAATTTCATATAGGTTAAAAGTTGCCACATAAATTGTGTTTTAGTGTACGTGGGTGATCCGTTCAATCTGTTTTTTAACTAAGATTATTAATTGGATTTTTATAAAACACATATCAAAAGAAAGCTCATTGTTGATATGAATTTGGTAAATGTCCATGATTTTTTAAAAAATTTATATCAATTTCAAGTAGCAAAAAAAAATTTCTGGTTTACACGATACTAAATTTTTGGCAAATTTCCATAATAAAAAAAATTAGAGGAATTTTATCAATTTTTAAAGAAAACGACTTCAATTAAATATAACTTGGGTTCTTTCCATAAATTGATCAACAACATCGCTCCAGTTAGACTTAAAAAATTTTATGACAACCACAATAAATACGCATTATAGTATAATCAATACTTATCAGTTTCTCTTTATAGCTAAAACATTGGGTAACAACAATATAATCTTTTACTAAATAAGATAGTTGTTTTCTAAAATTTGTGAAGTAAAATAGAATAAAAATTATAATGGTTTATTTTTTTCAAACAACCGTTTTAATATTTTATAAATGCGGCATAAAAATCCTTTTTTTAAGTTGAACATTCATGAAAGTTCCACTGTATGTTGAAATAATTAGNGAACATTCATGAAAGTTCTACTGTATGTTGAAATAATTAGAACATTTCATATTTAACTAGCATATAAGGCATTATTTAAATGAATATATTGATGCGATATTAATTTGTATAGCTTTAACTATCCTACTTAAGGTCATTGACGACCACCCGAAACACCTTGATCTATCTCATCGCAACAGTTGCGGTGCAAGAAAAGACGTGCAATCAATTCATTGCTGGCCGTAGTTCGGTAACAGATACATAGCGAACTCTGTAGCTACATAACCTGGAATAACTTTTTTCAATTAAAACTACAATGAATATTAAAATAGTTTTTGTGAAATAAAATATCCTTACTATATAACGTTTTGTTCAGTTAGCATTATTTATTTATAAAAAATGGAAGATATTGCGTCACCAAAGGTTGATGCAGAGTTAAACAAATCTGAGTATAACTCACTCAGGTCANTGCAGAGTTAAACAAATCTGAGTATAACTCTCTCAGGTCTTCATTTGCTCAAGTATGTATACTTATTTACTTGATTTTTTTGTTTTTAATCAAATTTTGATATAAATCAATTGTTATTAAATTAATTATTTTCTAGTTTATTATTGTGCTATCAATAACTATAAATTTAGCATAGAATATAAACTCAAAAATTAATATAATCTTAAGGTTTTTATTTTTATATAATGGAAAAAAAATATTTTGAAACTATTTAAAATTTCGACATATTCCTATAAATTAACTGGCAATTAACAACGTGTTAGTACTCACAAGAACAAAATACTTAATTTATTTTTAATGAAAGCCAAAATAAAGAAAACTATGACAATAATTGACTCTGCGGTTAATAACTTTAAAAAATTGAAAAAAAAAATTGACATATGTAATACATATGTAATACGAATGCTTGACAATCACTTCCTAAAATGAGTAATTCTTTAACAATAACATAATTAAATTTAAACTATTATAATTTATTCCTAAGTATACTAAAAGACTTCTCAAAATTAATATATCGTTGCTAC